AAACAATACAGAGAAACCCTGTCTAGAAAAACAAACAAACAAAAAACCAAAAGCCTCTGAGCCATCTCTCCAGCCCCACAGGTCTATATTTTTATTATATAATGAGTCTTTCTCCATCCTGCCAGTTAGCTCCCAAATAATGATACAAAGCCGTATTATCAATTATGAAAGCCCAGCCTTAGTTTAGGTTTGTCCCACTTGCTCTTATAACTTAAATTAACCCATATTTCTACTAATCTATATTCTACCTTGTGGCTTTTAACTCTCTTTATCTTGCAACTCCTGTTTCCCCTCCCTGTCTGTCTGGCTTCTCTGCCTCTCTTCTTCCCAGAGTTCTCTCTGTGTCTGGAGTCCCCCCTATACCTCCTGCCTAGTTACTGGTCATTTGGCTCTTTATTAAGCCAATCAGAAGACGCCTTGGCAATGACACATCTTCACGGTGTACAAAAAGATTATTCCACAACATGTTTGTTTGTTTGTTTGTTTGAGATAGAGTCTTCTATAACCCAAGCTGGCCTCAAACTCAATAGGTAGCCAAAGATGACCTTGAATTCATGATTCTCTGCCTCCACATCAGAGATACTAGGATTACACATAGAGGTCAAGACACCCATTGCCATCAAGTCTACATTGCTTGTTTTTCATATTTTTGTTTTTATTTTGTTTTGGAGACAGGATTTCTTTGTGTAGCCCTGGCTATCCTAGAAATCACTCTGTAGACCATGCTGGCTTCGAACTCACAGAGATCTGCCTGCTTCTGCTTCCCACCAGAAGTCTGGGATCAAAGGTGTTCACCATCAACTACCCAGGCATTTGGGGGGGTTGTTTGTTTTTGTTTTGTTGTCCCCCCAAACTGGGGTTTCCCTGTGTAACAGTCCTGGCTGTCCTGGAACTCACTCTATAGACCAGGCTGGCCTCAAACTCACTGAGATCTGCCTCTGCCTCCGAGTGCTGAGATTAAAAGCATTCGCCACTCCCACCTGGCTCAATTTTTGTTTGTTTAATTTTATGTATATGGGTGTTTGTCTGAACGTATGTCTGTACAGTTGAGGAGTGAAGTACCCAACCCAGAAGAGGGTATCAGACTCTTTTGGGACTGAAGTTACAAATGGTTGCGAGCCACTCTGTGGGTGCTAGGAACTGAACTCAGGTCCTCTGGAAGAGCAACCAGGGCTCCTAACCACTGAGCCATCTCTCGATCCCCTATTTTCATTTATTTATGTGTATGTGTGTATGTCTGTGAATGAATGCTGCATGTGTGCAGGTGCTCTCAGAGGCCAGAAGGTGTTGGATCCACCATGGGCGATGGGAATTGAACTCTGGTCAACAAGCAACAAGCACCTGTCTAATCCCTGGTTTTTTGTTTGTTTGTGGTTTTGTTTATTTTATTTGAACAGGGTTTCTCTGTGTAGCCGTGATTCCCAAGTTCTAGGATTAAAGGTGTGTGTCTCCACTGCTCTGTTAAAATTTATTTTTTATGTGTATGGGTATTTTGCTGGCATTAAATCTGTGCACCATGTGCATATTTGGTGCCTGTGGAAGTCGGAGGACTCCTATCTCCTTAGAAAGTTGTGAGCTGCCGTGAGGGTGCTGGGAATTGAACCCAAGTCCTCTGGAAGAGCAGCCAGTGCTCTGTATCACTGAGTCATCTCTCCAGCCCTCTGGGCTTTTACATTTTTTATTGTGTGTCGTAGTGCATGTGTGGAGGTCAGAAAACAATTTTCAGGAATTGATTGTCTCCTTCTAGCACATGAGTTTCAGGGGTTAAACTCAGGTTGCCAGGCTTGGTGGCCCATGTCTATGCACACTGAGCCATTGTGCAGGTCTGAGTCTACATTTTTCCAGTATTTTTGCTTGTTTGTTTGTTTGTTTTTCGTTTATGAGACAGGGTTTCTCTGTGTAGCCTTGACTGTCCTTGAATTCGCTCTGTAGACCAGGCTGATCTCGAACTCAGAAATCCGCCTGCCTCTGCCTCCCAAGAGCTTGAATTAACAGCATGTACCACCACTGCCCAATTTACATTTTTATTAAGTGAAAATATTCAAACTGGGTGTGGTGGCACATGCCTGTAATCCCAGCACTTGGGAGATGGAGGCAGAAGGAGCAAGAGTTCAGGGCCACCCTCTACTACATGGTGAGTTTGAGGCCTGAGGCCATTCTGAATTACATGAAACTGCCACAGTAAAGTACAAACTAAAACTTTTAAAGGCTCACACAAAGACAAGCACAAGGAAACAAACTGGTACAAGACAGTGAAATGTTCAAGTCCTGATTATTTGGGTTCAAATCCTTCATTTACCATGTGTTAGCGTCTACCTCAGTTTCTTATTTTGCATCATGGAATAGTGACTAGGTTGTTGTAGTGCTCAGTGAACCTGCTTACCTAGCACTGGCATACAACCACTCTGCCATAAATATTAGCAATTGCTAGAGACCATGTTGGTCAATGCTCACACCTGCTCTCCTCCTGGCCCTTCCTCTGACCCAGCTCATTTGGCGATGCTGGTTCAGGTTACAGTCCTGTCCAAAACCATTAGAAAGAACAGCTGCTTCCCTGCACCTCCTGGGCTAACCTGGGCTAGCCTGAGTGGTAGCAAGGCACTTTGAATACCATCAGAAACTTCCTGGAGGAGGCCTCCACCCAAGCCAGGTAAGGGAGCCAGGTACAGCAAGAGGGTGCTGCCCTGTGCTCTGTGCATTGGCTCCCTTTGCAACTCTTCCCCCCAACCTTTCTGCGGTACCCTCTCCCTTCCCCAGCAGAAACTTTCCTCTACGCCTGCCAGAGTGTAAATTGCCCTCAGGAATGTGCTGCACCCCATCGCTCCCTTAGCAGTGGCCAGCGGCTGTCCTGGGGTCAGGCCTGGCCCCACATCAAAGGCTCGGGAGCGGTAACAGCAGTAACAGCGTGTCTCCGCCTGCCGCCGCTGCCCTCCCCTCCCTCCCACTAGCATTGGCTTCCGAGGCACGGCACATGGTAGCACTTAAACTCCAGGAGGACGGAGGATGCTTTCTCTCCACCCCACCTCCCACCAGCCACAATGAGCTACTTGTTAGGAGACTATTTTAATTTTACTTAATGCGATTTCAGCTCCTAAGGCCTCTGCTGCCGTCACTTCTTGGATCCGGATACTCTGCATAAATGTAAGGGAAGCCAACCTCCCAGGAGGTGTAGCCTAAATATGGAGACTTCACAGAGGTGGGATCTGGGACAGGAAGAGGACTGTTACATCAGGGTCCGGGGTTGGGGCCCTGGACTCCTCTGAGGAACTAAGGGGGACTGGTTAAGGGAGGGCTCAGAGCTAGCTTGTACAATTCAGGAGGCCAACCTGACTTTGGAGTGTGTGCCACCAGACAGCCTTGGCCAACAGATTCTTCCAATGCCTTGAGTTTAGCAGGCAGACAATTAGCCTAGTGGCCATGTGAGCTTTACTGTTGGGTCTCCTGGGGCTAAGTAGAGGAGGATACTCCAAGATCCGGGAAGCTGCTAAGATTTATTCCACTAGGCGCATCTTCTTCTTTTTTGTTTTTGTTTGTTTGTTTTGGGTTGTTTTGTTTTGTTTGAGACAGGATTTCTCAGTGTAGCTTTGTAAACCAAGCTGGTCTCAAACTCACAGAGATCCGCCTGCCTCTGCCTCCCAACTGCTGGGATTAAAGGCCTGCACCACCACCGCCCCGCTTCAGGTGCATCTTCTAACAACAACAACAAAAAAAGAGTCCGTTCAAACAATCACTTCCTGGGACAGTAAGGCAGTGGTCTGGAGACCTCTGGTGGCTAAAGGCTGCAAACTGTGACTTGTCCAAAGCTCTGCCCAACCAGCCTGATCTGAAGGCTGTCCTCTAGAATTCAGTCTCAAGCTGGGCTCCCCAGAACCCCTCCCGACTAGTCAGCCTTTCCCGGAAGAGCTCTTCTGTCATGCTTCATTTTTCTGGAAGAGAGTATACGGCACACCAGGGAGGGCGAGGAATGGCTGAGGGGTGCCCAAACTACATTCCACTAGCTACAGGTGAGTCAGGGCTGGGGCAGCCCCTTTTTCCTCTGGTATCCCCGGTGTGCACGCCACTCAATTGTGGGACTGTAGGTGGGGAAAACCACTAGGGATGCCTGGTTTCCACAGCTTGCAACCCCCATGATGTTTAAGTTATTTCTGGGAAAGGAAATACCCAAAACCTCATATGGAAATGGCTGCTGGGAAGCAGAATGTGGCACACGGAGAGGAAGAAACGGGCAGGGTGGTTGATCTTTTGACAGGGTCCACGAACGCCACACAGGACTTTCCCTGTGAGTCCCAAGCCACCTCCTCAGCCCTTTCATTCTTTCGAATCTGGTATGACCGGACCCAGAATTATATATACTGAATCCTAGCATTCCAGTTACCAAAACAAAGTGCCCAGACTGTATCTGTGGGAAGAGGACAAGAGGCCCTAAGGATGGGCTCCTAGAGGTTAACCCTCCCCCTAGTTGGGAAATAAACATGAGATCACTCCCCAGTGGCCCAACCCAGCGGTGGGGCAAGTCTTGGGCAAACCACCGCCTTGCTGAGGCCTCAGAGTACTGACCCTGTCCTCAGGAATCAGTCACATTTCCAGCAAGATGCACATGTAACTGGCTCTCTTCAGGTCTGTTAACTGAGGAAAGCCTCAAGTCCAGTGTCCCAGTAGCTTCTCCAAGCTCAAGGCCCTGGGCTGTCCCAAAAAAACTGGCCTGAGACAGCCTCTGCCTCCTCCCTTTAAGAGCTGCCTAAGGTCTGGAGAGATGGCTTAGTGGTTAAGACCATTACTCAATGGTTCTTCCAGAAGCCTGTAATTCAATCTCCAGAACCCACAGTGTGGTTCACATACAGACAAAACACTTATACACATAAATCAATTTTTAAAAAATAATTTATCTTATGAGAACTGGTGTGAGGGTGTCAGATCTGCTGGAACTTGAGTTACAGATAGCTGGAAGCAGGGAATTGAACCTGGGTCCTCTGGAAGAGCAGCCAGTGCTTTTAACTACTGAGTCCATAAATCAATTTTTTTTAACTAAAACAGCTGACAATTTTGTTTTCATTTTTCACAATATGAGTGAGAGCAACACTTTTTTTATTATCCCACTTCTCCGCTCTAAAACTGTTCTCTGTTCAGAGGCGGGAAGCCTTCCTTGTCATGCAGCTAGAAAACACTCAAGTTCAGCACCGTGTTGAAACAAAACACGAAGTACCAAACTGATATAGAGCCTTTCTGCTCTTATCTGTCTGGCCGAGTGGGCACCATCATGGGGCGAGCAGGCATCATGGGCGTGTGGCCAGCCATGGGTGGCATCATCCCAGGAGGAGGGGGGCCCATCATTGGCATCATGGGAGGGCCTCCCCTGTGGGGTGCAGGCATCATGCCAGGGTGAGGAGGACCCGGGAGACTGGGGGAGGTGGGATCATGTCCCTGGCGGGAGAAGGAGCAGAGAATGGGCTGGCGGGATACTTCCTTGTGGAAATGCAGCCTTTGTTTAGTCAGCCAGGCTCTGGGCCTGCTCTCCCATCCATTTCTGTAGTAATCATTCACACTTTGTGTGTTTCCCACCACTGCAGTGCGCCTCTCACGGATAGAGAACCACAGGTAAGATACTATCACAGTGTGTCTCTCACTGCAGTGTGTCTCTCACGGATAGATACTACCACAGTGTGTCTCTCACTGCAGTGTGTCTCTCACAGATAGAGAACCATAGGTAAGATACTATCACAGTGTGTCTCTCACTGCAGTGCGTCTCTCACGGATAGATACTACCACAGTGTGTCTCTCACTGCAGTGTGTCTCTCACAGATAGATACTACCACAGTGTGTCTCTCACTGCAGTGCGCCTCTCACGGATAGAGAACCACAGGTAAGATACTATCACAGTGTGTCTCTCACTGCAGTGTGCCTCTCACGGATAGAGAACCACAGGTAAGATACTACCACAGTGTGTCTCTCACTGCAGTGTGCCTCTCACGGATAGAGAACCACAGGTAAGATACTACCACAGTGTGTCTCTCACTGCAGTGTGCCTCTCACGGATAGAGAACCACAGGTAAGATACTATCACAGTGTGTCTCTCACTGCAGTGTGTCTCTCACAGATAGATACTACCACAGTGTGTCTCTCACTGCAGTGTGTCTCTCACGGATAGATACTATCACAGTGTGTCTCTCACTGCAGTGCGCCTCTCACGGATAGAGAACCACAGGTAAGATACTATCACAGTGTGTCTCTCACTGCAGTGTGTCTCTCACGGATAGATACTACCACAGTGTGTCTCTCACTGCAGTGCGCCTCTCATGGATAGAGAACCACAGGTAAGATACTACCACAGTGTGTCTCTCACTGCAGTGTGCCTCTCACGGATAGAGAACCACAGGTAAGATACTATCACAGTGTGTCTCTCACTGCAGTGTGTCTCTCACAGATAGATACTACCACAGTGTGTCTCTCACTGCAGTGTGTCTCTCACGGATAGATACTATCACAGTGTGTCTCTCACTGCAGTGCGCCTCTCACGGATAGAGAACCACAGGTAAGATACTACCACAGTGTGTCTCTCACTGCAGTGTGCCTCTCACGGATAGAGAACCACAGGTAAGATACTACCACAGTGTGTCTCTCACTGCAGTGTGCCTCTCACGGATAGAGAACCACAGGTAAGATACTATCACAGTGTGTCTCTCACTGCAGTGTGTCTCTCACGGATAGATACTACCACAGTGTGTCTCTCACTGCAGTGCGCCTCTCATGGATAGAGAACCACAGGTAAGATACTACCACAGTGTATCTCTCACTGCAGTGTGCCTCTCACGGATAGATACTACCACAGTGTGTCTCTCACTGCAGTGCGTCTCTCACGGATAGAGAACCATAGGTAAGATACTATCACATTAAAACTACCTGGTTCCGCTGGGAAATCCACATAAGTCAATTTTAAAACATTAAAAAAAAAAAAAACCAACCCAGCCAGGAAGTAGTGGCGCACGCCTTTAATCCCAGCACTCAGGAGGCAGAGGCAGTAGGATCTCTGTGAGTTTGAGGCTAGCCTGGTCTACAGTGTGAGTTCCAGGATAGGCTCCAAGACTACACAGAGAAACCCTGTTTCCAAAAACCATAAGTAAGTAAGTAAATAAATAAATAAACAAACAAACAGACAAGATAAAATCCTAGCCAGGCAGTGGTGGCACACACCTTTAATCACAGCACTTAGAAGAGACAGGCAGGAGGATCTCTCTGAGTTTTGAGGCTAGCCTGGTCTACAGAGCTAGTTACAGGACAGTCTTAAAAAACAAAAACAAAACAAAAAGATTCTATCTGGGACCATCGAGATGGCTCAGGAGATGAGGGTACCCACTGCCACACTTGGCCGCCATTTGATCCCCAGAGCCCAGGGGGTGGTAGAAACCAACTCTCAAAAGCTGTCCTTGCTTCAAAGCCTGGTATCCCCCACTTGACAGCTTCTTGAACTCACGCCTGACCTTGGCTCCTCCATGAAAACAGAATCACCAACCAGATAGTACTAGAGCAGATCCAGCATCTGTGGAGTGCTCCCCGAGTGCTGAGTGCTCCGAGCAGGATCCAGCACAGAGCTCACCTGCTCTTTTCTACTCAGATGTCACATGCTGAGCAGAAGGAAAACGTGACACGACTGGGATTTCACTCAAGAATGCATCTTTATTGAAGAATCTGTAAGAAAAAAGGATGGGCCCTCCATAAAAAGAGGAGATGTTGCCTCCAAACAGCAGGGAGGAATGAGACCTGGGTGGCTTCCCAGAAGCCAGTGCTTCCGGCATGACTGGCTTCCGTGGCCTGGCAAGACTACAGTGTGTCACTACAGCCAACAGTTCTTACCCACCCCTCCCCTCCACAACCCAAACTTCCCACAGCCATTTGCCAATAGTTGCATGAAGGTTCATGGGGAGGTGTGTCAGGTTGTCTCTTAAAGGGGTCAAAGTGGCTTGTGTTCTGGAAAATTCACAGGAATGTAAAATGTTAACTCTTTTAGTCCAACCAGGGCAAGTACCTCCTGCCCCTCTGAGGGGAAATGGAGCAGAGACTCCCCCTCTGAAGTGCACACTCGTAGGGAAGCAGAGTAGCCGTCTGCTCTTTATTAGCATGAAGAATGGAAATAAAGTTAGAAGAATATATAACATCGGCTGAAAAGTCACTGAGTCCCGGGGCAGAGGCAGCAGGACCTTTCTCACCCCGGCAGGCGCTGCTCCCGGCTGCTCCAAGCTCTAGAGCTGCTTATTCTTCCCCAGCCGGGAGATTGTCTTCAATCCGCCTGAGGAACCTCATTCTGATCTCTGTCACACCATCTCCCTTCAGAGTGTCCTGGACAAACTTGGCCTCCACAGCCATCTGGACCTGAGGAACAGAAAGGGTGCACGTCTAACCACAGCCCTGGGGAACCCCTGAGGGTGAGGCTAGATCAGAAATGTCCATGGACTGGAGTGTGGGAGTATAAATGACTAAAATTCACTATATAAACTACATATATGTATGAAACTTCCAAAAAAATTTTTTTGAGACAGGGTTTCTCTGTGTAGCCTTGGCTGGAATTCCTTCTATAGACCAAGCTATCCTCAAACTCAGAGACCCTCCTGCCTCTGCCTTCCAAATGCTAAGATTAAAGGTGTATGTCACCACTGCCTGGCTCATTTCCACAGGGATGGGGTTGCCAGCCCCAGTGTTCTAACATCGAAGACAGTGGCCTCAAACTGGGTGTGGTGTCATTTACCTATAGTCCCAGCACTTGAGGAAGGGGCTAGAGGCAAATTCAAAGATATCCTGGTCTACATATTGAGCAAGCTGAGTCCTAAGCTAAGCTAATTGGGGCTAGACTGAGGCTGTCGAAGAAGGAGGAGGGGAAGAAAGAGGAAGAGAAGGAGGAGAAGAAGGAAGAAGAGAGAGAGAGAGAGAGAGAGAGAGAGAGAGAGAGAGAGAGAGAGAGAGAGAGAGAGAGAGAGAGAGAGAGAGAGAGAGAGAGCTGCCTTGGCCCCTGTATGAGCAGCACTATCTCCTTGGACAGCAAGGGGCTGGGGAAAGTCAAAGCCTTTTCTCTCCCATTGAGACAGCATGAACCAAACACCACCAAGCTGGGAGAGGGCTGCACTCACCATCTCCAAGGCTCCCCGCAGCACCCCACACAGGAGGTTGGAGTAAATGAGGGATGAGTGGCTATCGGGAAGCTCCACGAAGTCCACCAATGGGTTATTTTCCAAGATGAGGGAGAATTCATCGCCAGCTGGGCTCCAATTTGTGATGCTTGGAGTGATGCCTAAGTACATCTTGAATGCCACCTGTCAGGGAACGCACAACAGCATTCTGGGGAAGAGTGACAGAACTGTACACCTGGGAAGGTGTTAGCACAGTCACTAGGACAAAACTGTGGCCTCCAAATCTTTAGAGATCTGGGGAAAGAGAAGTGCCCACACGGGACTTCATCTGTCTCCTTCAGGTATCACACAATACTCTAACTCACTATCTGCCCCACGCCTCACCGGAAGGGCAGCTGCCTTCAACGGAAGCCTGAATGAGGACTTAGGCATGAGTCACATCTGGCCCAACATGCGAACTCTCAAGCTTCCTCCACACTCTGCTACACCTCTGTTGTGCTGTTGTTTGTTTGTCTGGCTTTTTGAGACAGGGTTTCTCAGTAGTTATGGAGTCAGTCCTGGAACTCACTCTGCAGTCTAGGCGTGCGCCACCACTGCCTGGATGCGCTATACTTTCAAAATGGAGGAATTTGGGCTTTAATTTCAGTGAGGGACATAGACCTGCTGGCTCTATGTGTTTGTAGGTAGGACCTTGCTATGTAGCCATAGCTGATCTACATACATTCGGTATGTAGGCCAGATGGGCCACAAACTTGCTTCGACTCTGCTGTGTCTGCCTCCCAAGTGCTGGGATCACGGGCATACACCACTACACTCAGCTACAGCAAGGCTGAAATGCACAAGGAAGACCCAGCCTCTTTCATAATCTGTATTTCCAAACCACCAGGAAGGCCTCCTTGATCCAAACAGCTGCCTAATCCGCCTTGGGAGATAGGGACAGTGAGGGTGGTAAGCAGTGCCTCTCAATGGCAAGCTTCGGTGGGGCCAGGTGGCCCAGGTAAATGACCTTAGCAATGACATCCGCAGTCTCCCGAAAGTCATGACATCTTCCAACATTTGAGCGTGCCAAAAAGTCTTCAATTAGCCGGACTCCAATGTTATAACCCCTTGGAAGGAAATCAGAGAACAGATCATTAAGGGGTCAAAATGTCTTTTATACAGACAAAATGTCTTGTACCTAAACATGAGACTGTTGTCAGCTAAGGGGGAGGATGGGGATAACACCAAACACCCTCACAAACGAGCTCAGTGGAAACGGTACCCAAACGCTGGCCTCCCAGGACAGCACGCACGGGGTGTGCTGGGCGCCCGCTGCGCTCTTGTGGGGGAGGCACCCACTCACATTCTGTCCAGCTGCTTGTTGACATCTTCGTCACTCTCATAGTCCTTGCACAGCTGGGTGACAAGAGCGCCATACGTCAGGGTGAACAGCTCAGAACTCTGAAAGACATTCACAAGGCCATCAGGACCCAGCACCACAAACCAAGGTTTAATGAGGGCCTGGATCAGCCTGGCTACAGCCACCAGGGTTCCAAGAGAAGGCCACCTGGATGCCCATGTCTGGAGGCCATCTCCCCGTGGAGTGGCCAGCAGGGCAGGTCTGCAACCACACCTACTACAAATTGCCTACAGAAGGTACATCTTCTAACCCCAAAGGCGGCCTCTGCCAACCCAGGCTACCATGGCGTGGGTCACCTGAACCTGGAGTGGGAGGAACAGCCACTCACTGGATTCTGTGAAAGATGGAGCCAAGGCAGACACTTTCACAGCAGCCTGTGTGTTGGCAGGTGTAGCCAATGGCTTCCTCACACCTTAGAGCAATTGTTCTCAACCGTCAGAAAAAAACAGATATTTACATTCCAATTCCTAACAGCAGCAAAATTACAGTTATGAAGTAGCAATGAAAACAATTTTAATGGTTGGGGGTCACCACAACATGATGAACTGTACTAAAGGGTCGCAGCATTAGGAAGGTGAGAACCACTGCCTTAGAGTGTTCTGACATGGGGCTAAGCTGTGCTCCCGAGGCTTGGGTCTTCTGCTGCTCATGGGAAGAGCTAGCAACTGAGGGACAGACTGGGCTGGCAGAGAAGGAAGTCCTAGAGAGACCATTACCCTAAAGACAACCTCTCCTCAAAGTCACCTACATGGGGGGAAAGTTAACGATCCTTTTGACACATTGCTAAAATATTTCTAAAAAGTGCGTAAATCTAAAAAGAATACAATATTAGAGTGGGGGATAGATCCTCAGTTAAGGGGTCTTATTGCTTTCCCAGAGCACCCAGGTTTGATTCCTAGGGCCCACATCTGGCGGCTCACAACTGCCTATAACTCCATTTCCAAGGGGTCCAACAACCTCTGGCCTCAGCAGGCACCTGCACGCACATGGCGCAAACAGACTCATGCAGGCACACACACACACACACAAGATAATAATAAGTGATCTTTAAAAATAAAATAGTATCCCAGCGGTGGTGACGCATGCCTTTAATCCCAGCACTTGGGAGGCAGAGGCAGGCAGAGCTCTGTGAGTTCAAGGCCAGCCTGGTCTACAGAGCTAGTTCCAGTACAGCCTCTAAAGCCGCAGAGAAACCCTGTCTCAAAACAAAAAAACAAGCTGGGCGGTGGTGGCGCATGCCTGTAATCCCAGCACTCAGGAGGCAGAGGCAGGCGGATCTCTGTGAGTTCAAGACCAGCCACAGAGAAACCCTGTCTCAAAAAAAACAAAAACAAACAAACAAATAAATAAATAAAATAGTAGCCAGGTGGTTTTTGTGCATACCTTTAATGAGTTCGAGGCCAGCCTGGTCTACAGAGTGAAATCCAGGACAGTCAGAGCTGTTACACAGATAAACCCTCTTAAAAAAACAAGTCAAAGCAAGGCAATGGTGGTGCTCACCTTTAATCCTACAACTCCTGACTCTGGGGATCCAAGACCTCGGGCCTTCTTGGGCACCTACACTCAAATGCACATACCCACCAAGGTGGGACACACATACACATAACTAAAAAGAAAGCAAGAAAGAATCCTGCCAGGAATGGGTAGCTTAGTTCAATCCATAGAATACTTGTCTAGTAAGTACTGAGTTGATCCACAGCAACACAAGCGCACACATTAAAAACAGAAAAACGGGGCCAGCAAGATGGCCCAGAGTGTAAACGCCTTTGTCAACGAGCCTGATGACCTGAGTTTGATATCTTAGCTCCCCATGCTGCAAAGAGAGAACAAACCCTACAAATTGTCCTCTGACCCTTGCAACAGACACCATGGCACATGTGTGTGCATGTACATACATAAATAGATAAATGCAAAAAACATTTAGAAAAATCAAAGCCACATATGATTTCAATGTGAGTTCTACCTAGCTCAGCCTTCAGTTCATTCTGAACTGGTGCTGCACCCAGTGATATATTACATGCCCATGGGTTTTGGTTCCCAGTGCCACACACACACAGACACAAACCCACATGCACACACCCATGTGTGCACGCGCACATACACACACACACAGAGTAGTGCAAATACTAAGACTCCAGAATAAAAACACCAGGACTGCTGGCAATAAAAAAGGCACTATTGGCCGGGCATTGGTGGCGCACGCCTTTAATCCCAGCACTTGGGAGGCAGAGGCAAGCGGATCTCTGTGAGTTCGAGGCCAGCCTGGTCTACAGAGCTAGTTCCAGGACAGCCTCCAAAAAAAACAATACAGAGAAACCCTGTCTCGAAAA